AGTACCATTTACCTTTTAACATAAATAGCACAAATATTAAATAAGAGCATATTGAAGATATACATAAAAATTTTAAGATAGATGAGCCTCTGTAGTTATGTGCTTTGGTCACTAATATTGAATTGTTTGAATTGGAAATATTCTTGTCCTTCTCTTCATGATTTTAAAGAGAATAATCATGAATTTCTTTATTTTCACTGACTTTGGAAACAAATATTTCCTCATACACATTTTCCCATCTGCACTACCAATTTGTACTTAAAGTTCCCAGGGTCTTGGTGTAGTGTAAGTCTGTCTTTTGCCAGCCAACTATTTGATTATCCAGCTCAAATATAACCTTTTCTAAGAAACTTTTCCAGGTCCATCTAGTCGGAATTGAACTATTTTTCCCATGCTGCCATTTTTTACATTTTTATTAAAGGTGTATGTCATGGTAGGAAATATGTCCAATATAATTTTGTATCCCTGCAGGACTTAGCGCTCAAAACAGATTAACATAAGTTTATTGGACTGAACTGAAATTTATGCTGTGGGAAATAAGGACGATAGTTTGCTATGAAAACAGAGTATTATCGTATATTTAGAAGCTTCCAGAATAAGACTGCCGAATTTCCCTAATGACTATATGCTTATGTCCCAGTGCGTAAAATGGGAAAAATATCACTTATCTTTTAGCTTCCAACTGCATCCCATCAAAATATACATATTCTAGGATTTCTTATACGTTACTCCTCCATTCACATAGATTATTAGTCTTCATTAAAGGGTTAACCCTTTGTGTTTACTTAGTTACCCCTCACGCTGGATGAATGTTAGATACACCGTCCATTTGCGCCTGATGCCTGTCTACCTCAGTGTATTCCCAGTCCTGCAATGTAACTTCCCAAAATGCAGAGTGTGTCCCATTAACACATTTAACACAGCCTTAGCATGAGATCAGGCACATGTAACATAAGAGTTTATTTTATAAGACAGAATCCCAATAATAACCTTTCCTATGAGGGTCATGATTGAATTAATTAGCTTTTATAAAATTACACATACAGGAAGACATCACTTTCATTTTTCAGTGACTTAGATAATTTTAGTTTGTAAATTGTTTCCTAGGTTTCGTGAGTCACTTGGGGCAGAAGGCCTTTGAAGCTTCCCAGAGTTCAGTATAGGAAGTTTCTGCTCTCCTGAGCTCACCTTCATCACTTTTATGTTGTAATCTCTTTCTAAAGAGATTATATAATGTTTGTAAGAACAATAGACTTATCATTATGATTATTATTGTTAGTTTAAAAAGAGATTAAAGACCAAAAATACGGATTGGCTGGAATATTTGTGTCCTTTGCAGACATGTAGCAATTATGATACTAAGAGTTGTAGCTTATTCCCTAACATAAATGTTGCCAGTGGCACCAGTTTGTTTTTGACTTCACTGCACAAAAGAATTTGAGAGCAATTTTACCGCACAAAAGAATTTGAGAGCAAGTTCAAAGTGGAAGGAGGTAAGAGAGCTTACTGCGAAGCAAAAGTACACTCACCGCTGATCACAGAGGGCTACTCAAAGGTGAGACCATGCTGACTGACACTAGAGAAACTCCCTTTATGAGTTTCATATGATTATTCATGAAGGGGTAGGAAGGCGTGTTGCTATTAAGCACGTTCTGGATGGTCCTCTGGATGTGCATGTGCTATTTTTGTACATGCTGGTAGATACATGGCATGTCTCATTAACATCTTAAATCTCTACTCATGGGTGTATTTTTTACTATTCTAATGAGCATGGGTCAGCCCAAAGACACTAATCATGGGTTTCTGCACTTGCATGCATGTGGGAATTTTTCCTTTCTGCTCCTTTACCTCCTTGCTGTAGGATGTTCTAACCATGAGCCCAGGGTGTGGGTTGTGCACTGTCAGGCAGTTTGTTCTCTCCATTTATTTAGGAAGTTTGTTCTCCTTTAAGGGAGACTATAACCACCCTATGTCATCTACTTTTTAAGGACATTATTTGGTTTAAGAGACTGGCCAAATCCTACAGCCATCAACAGTGTGGGGCATAGATGTAAATGAGAGGACATTTTGAAAGGACATGCACTATAGGATTTTAATTAGCACATTTGCCAACACCATGTTCCCTTTGAAGAAAGGTTTCTTTAGAAAGATTCTTCAAGTTGTCTGTATCACGGTGTATTCTGTAAAGTGGCAGCATGGCTTGAGGTTCTAGTGGATGTTTAAGATTCACCCTCTCACTGTGTGACCTTACATGCACTCTCTGGAATTCATTTACTCTAAAGGTCCTGGCAGAATCCAAAGGTAATGTCTATATGGCCTTCTTAGTTTCTTTAAAGGCAGCTACTTGATACACGGTGACTCATCAGTCATCAAGTCTTTGAGACTTAATGAACTGCCACTCAGTAAATAATCAAACAGCATGAATTTAGTGATCATCAATTTAATATGAGAACAATAAACAAGACTGTGGGGAAAGAGGACAAATAGAAACAAATTAATTCAAGTATTTATTAAGTATTTATGAGTACCCATGTTCTGGACTCTATACTAGATGCTAGAGATTTTTAAAATGAGCGATACAACTTTTTGTCCAGGAGAAGCTCAGAGTCACATAAAAGACACACACTGAAGGCTTTGCATTTGCTTAGAAAAACAGATTACATACCCATGAGACAAGATAAGAACACTACAGTAAAAATACGTACAGTAAAACTTTAACCAGTTTAACCAGTAAAAAAAAAACCAGTTGCCATTGTTGGTGAATCTGTGATAATTGGGATAGGAACTTTCTGCTCTGTTGGGGGAAAATATTGAAGCAAGGTATGCATTTCATTACTAAAAGGTTTAGTATAGTACATTTCTGTTCTCTTGAAATTATCTCACTTCTTAACCTTTTTCTCAGATGTATGTTGTATCATGTTTGTTAAGAACAACGGACTTATACTCATCCTAATGATGTGCATAATGTCCAGGAAGCCTTACTTTTTGGAAAGCAAATCCTATAAAAGGGCAAACGTGTTTTTTGACAGATGACAGACACTGTAGGTTTTACAACCATTTGGGAGAGTTATTTTAAAATATAATTCTTTTTATTACTTACTATATGAAAAATAGCTAGATGGTGAAAAATTATCAGCAGGTTGTATTTAAAGTTCTTCGTACAAGTCAATTATTTCGGATTTGGCACAAACCCAAGGAAATGTTTTTATATATAGGGTCTAGTTTCCAAGACTGTCCACAAAAACCTAGGTAGCTTGTAATGTGAATAATCAACCATCTGAATCACAGTATTTTCCAAATTGAGCCAGCTGTTATATTCATGAGGATCCGTGAGTTTAATAAGAATTTTTAAATCCTGTTTTCATTTTGACAAAAATATAAAAATTGCACTTTGGGAGGCCGAGACGGGCGGATCACGAGGTCAGGAGATCGAGACCATCCTGCCTAACACGGTGAAACCCCGTCTCTACTAAAAAATGCAAAAAACTAGCCGGGCGAGGTGGCGGGCGCCTGTAGTCCCAGCTACTTGGGAGGCTGAGCCAGGAGAATGGCGTAAACTCGGGAGGTGGAGCTTGCAGTGAGCTGAGATCCAGCCACTGCACTCCAGTCTGGGCGACAGAGCAGACTCCGTCTCAAGAAAAAAAAAAAAAAATATATATATATATATATGTGTGTGTGTGTGTGTGTGTGTATATATATATAAATTAACATACAGTAATCATATTCTGTATCATCTAAATGAATGCCCTGTTATGTGATTCTTGAAATCATGTTTATGGTCACCTCTATAATTGTGTTTGTCTCTTTGTTGTCATTTGTTTTTAACAGTTTTAGGGGTTTACTGTATACACTGGTTAGTAGCTGGCTGCCATTTGATTGACTAACATTAAAGTTATAATGACACAATTCTTTCATATTTACTATTATCCTCATGTTGATTTTGTTTATCTGTTATGACAAAAAGCTCAGACAATTTTAGTTTTTAAGATTAAATTTAGATTTTAAAATAGACTGATGCATTAGGCAGAATAGTGTAGACTAATGATAAAATAAAAAAGGCAGACAAAGCGGATAAACGATGCAGTTATGTTAAGGTATAGGCCAAATTAAATCATAAATCCAATTAGATGAAGATCTGTATAGATGAATTCTGCAGTATTTCAAGGAGAGAAAAGTAGCGGGAGAGTTTAGTTATCACACAGGACACGTTAAGCAACTTAATAGTCAGCCCACCATAACTGCCGAAGTGAATACTCAGTGGAATTTTTTAAATTTATAACTAGGGTTATATCTTACAGTGCCTTAGCAAAATAATAGACCAGTATTTATTTTTGCTCTACACATCATTTTTAAAATTGGAAAATTTTTCATAAAAATCCAGATTTCTGGCTTTTTTTTTTTTTAATGAGAAGGCATGGCAACTATAGACCTGTGGCCCCCTGTGGCATTAATAGAGCTGGGCAGTGACTATTTCTTACACAAGTCCTGCTTGTCTCCTATACACAAGCATTATATTTCACAAGCATTATATTTCTTATATTTCACAAGCATTAGAGTCTGTGCTTCCCAATCTAAGCCAATGTTGGATATTTCCCAGGATGCAGTAATAAGGGTTTTTGGAAAAGGCAGTCTGTAGCTCTGCATATGTTGCTTGTGAAACAAGTATTTGTGAGTAGGGGTTTCTGCTGAATATGGCTCCTTTCTAGGGCACTATCACACTTTGTTCTTTCTGTAATCGTGGTTTGGTATGTAGATAGAAATAAAAATCAATCTTTAGAAGCAAATTTATAAATTAATTCACTGCATTCATAGACTCGGAGGCTTGCTTGTGAGAAGGAATATGAGTGTCCTCTCCTTCCTTCCCTACCCCTCCTCCCACCACTGGCATAATGCCTGCCTGTCATTTGTATGCTTCCTTCCCTATTATTACTGCTTATTCATTTTACTTCATTAATGTTTAAAGACGATTGCAGTCATTCACTGAAAAGGGCAACACTTACCACCAACCATGCATAGGTGAACTCAGATGAAATTTCTGAGGAGCTATTTCGAAAGCATGGTATTTCCAGAGTCTGATTTATCTCTATTTCTATTGTATGGTTGCTTTTCCACTCATCTGGTGTAACTGTAACAAAACATAAGGTAGAAAATATATGAATCTCTGATTGGTTTGTAAAGTGTTTTTATCAAAGAGACAAAAACAGTTTTAGTACAGGGATTCATCTATCCTCAGGGTACACCTATGAAGCAGAGAGGTGTACCCTCATTGTATAAGTGGCTAAACGGAGTCACTGAGGAGCACAGAATTGTTGCTAAACACTGAAAAATTACAAGGAAATGACCCTAACAGACTCAAACTCATCATTTGGCGTGTTCCTCTGCTTTAGCCCCAAATTGGTGCTTTAATCTTCAAGTTCCATTTCCATGATCAGATAGAATATAAAACTTCATAACCTAGCCTTAATTGTCTTTTTATTTTGTTGGACTTTATTTTTTAGAGTAACTACTAAAATTAGGTTCACAGCAAAATTGAGCAGAAAGTACAAAGTTCCCAGTATATCTGCTTCCTCTACCCACCCACAACCTCCCCAACGGTGGACATCCTGTTCCACAGCCGTACATTTGTTAAAATTAATGAACCCACACTGGCACGTCATTATCACCCAAAGTTCATAGTTTACATTAGGGTTTACTCTTAATTTTATACATTCTATGGGTTTGGACAAATGTATAATGACATGTATCCACCATTATAGTATCATACCTAATAGTTTCGCTGCCCTGAAAAGCTGATCTTTTTACAGTCTTCATATCTAATAGTCTTCTCAGAGCTTATAAACATTCCTCCCACAAAGGAATTACACAAAAATACATAAGGAAACTTTGAGGAAGCAGTGTTAATTATTTTCATTTTTAAGGTAGTAGAAGATAAATATCCATTTTGTAATCTCTCCTATTGGGAAAGTTTTATATACATACATATAAATTTGTGACTGAACTATAACATCAATAAAAGAAATTTATAAATAAAGGCAACTCTATCATCCAAATATCCTAAAAATCTTATATTCTTTTTTCTATATCTATTCAAATCTTGTTTGCATACATGCACGTTTTCTCACAGTCTGCAATCTTACTTACCAATGAATGTTATGTATATTGTTACTTTAAAATGTTTTGTGTGATTCTTGAACTATTGGTGATTTAAATTTATGGGGGCTTCATGTCATTTTATCATATGTACTAATCATCATTCATTTAGTCATTTCCAATTATTGAATCATTATGCTCTTTCAGTTTGGATTTTTTACTTTATTTTAAACCATTACATGCTATATAGCAAGGATCATCCTTATGCTAATAGCTTTCTTCTGACCATTCGGCTACTTAAGATAAATTCTCAGAAGTATAATTAATGGATCATTGAGTATGAACATTTTTATTGCTACTAACATTATGTGTGTGTATATATACATATAAAACATATATATGTTATATATATTATATATTAGTCCATCAAAATAAAAATAAAAGGGTAGGTTATGAAGTTTTATAGTCTATCTGATCAAGGAAAAGGAAACTGAAGATTAAAGCATCAATTTAGGGCTAAAAATATTATACATAAATATATGCTATATAACAGTATACATTTTTAATGGCATGTTTCTCAGTTTATAAATTTTATATCTAGCCTTTAGATCTTTGTTATATTTTAATCTCTTATCAATATCATCTAGCTTCTTTACTGGTAACTGTTTCCTCCTCCTTTTCCTAATTAAAACCAGATCCCCACAGCATTTCTTGCACTCTAATTCCTCAAGTTCTGGAGGTGGGATCAGTGTTTTCTTTGCTCTCCACTGCTCTTTCCAAATAGTACTCCAAGCCCATAATTGAAAAAAAGAACCCTGTCCCATAAGGGGGAAAAAATCACTTAGCTATCACAGCACTTCCAGATGGAGTTGTTTGTATACCATCTCTACTATCATATTTTTTTGCCATATTTGCATATGATCATTACTACTATTTAATTTTATTCTTAAATTATTGTAATTGTTTTACTTATATATATATATTTCTTTAAAATATACTGAATATCTCTGAAGTCCATGCCATCCAAATGTTAGTTATATTTTAATAAACATCAATCAAATACATAAGTATTATATTTTTGTAAACTTTGTCCCGAATCTGGGAAGCTGGCAGTATAAGTCGCATTACTTTTTGAATATACCAGAAACTCTCTATAAAAACAAAGAAGATAAATAGGGTAACGAAACTAAAACTACATAGACCATATCTACAAGAACACTAAATAATATCACATCCCTCTTAATTGGTGGGGAAAAATCCACCAAACCACTGTGTTATCAGCAACTTTGCAGAAAGAAACAGAGGAAGGTCAACTGGGCTTTAGATGGATCTTAGAACTAGAGAACCCACACCACCTCCCTCTGTCTAGTAACAGGTAATCACTGGAAAGACAGGTAGATTAATCCAAGAATACAAGAATAGTAGCTGAAATGGAGAAGAGAGTTTGCAGACACCAAATCACCAGTGTCTTCAAGAAAAATAAGAAAAAGGTTGTCAGTGCTGGAGCAGAAAGGACTTCTCAGGACACATGCCACGGGGAGAAAAAACTGCTGGACATAGAATCCAATAAAACAGGACAGGTCCAATAAGAGAAATCAAAGAGGCAATTTAGGTAAACGTGAGGGATGGAAGCAAAGGAAATATACTCAGAAACTACAATGGTAAAAAACTCATCTTTAAAATAACAGAAGAGGTGACTTTAGGGATACTGAACACTCTAGAAAAGCTAGCCTGGCTCACTCTTCTGTCATAAGAATGCATTTAACCTAAACATGAGTAACAGAAAGGGAATGAGATAGAATAACCTATAAAGATACCAGAAGCAAAAAGAGAGCAGAGAACAAAATAACGTTCCTACAACAACGAGAGCATATTATCAAGACATGACAACAAAGTAAATAAAAACTATAGCCAAATTATTCAAAATGAGCTAAAAGAAATAAAATGATGTAAATTGTGCACAATTTTGGAAAGTTCCCAATGAGTCCCATGGAAGAAAAAAGCTTACAAAGCATAGGTAACGAAATTCAAGAAAGGGTTAGAAATAATAATTTTTAAAAAAATCACTCCAGAAATTAAGACAAAATTAGAACAAAACCAGAAACATAGAAAAACAAAAGCTAATTCATTAAAGTTCATTTTCAAAATAGAATGAGGGAGATTTTGAAATAAATAAAGCAATATGTAATTATAAAAAAAGAAAACTCTAATAAAAGAGATTCAAAGGAAATGATATGCAAAGAAGATAAAAATATATGTACAATAGAAAACGTTAAAGAAAAAAGATGAAAGCAATGGAACAGAACAAATATTAAAAACTATAATTCAAGAAAAATATAATAAAATTTAAAATGACTAGAAAATGCACATTAAATGACTATACTGCAAAATTGGAAAATAGGCCCAGAATGGACAACTTTAAGTATGTTTGTATAAAAGTATCGAGCAAAGTCAAACATGGGGAAAGAAAATCTGATTGTTATTAGCTTTTTGATAGCAGTCCTATGCCAGAAAACAGTAGAGTAACATAGTTAATATACTCAGGAAAGAAAATGTGAGCCAAAGATTTTATATTCAGCAAAATTAAATTTTTAAAATAAAGACTACAGAAAAATGTTAGAGTTATGCAAGAACTCAGAGAATATTGCTGCTATGAGCATTTCCTGAGGATTCTCCAACAGAATACATTTCAGACTGGAGATGCATTTACATAAAGGTTAGTAAATGTTGATTATGTATTTATCTTTAGCACTAAGAACATGTAATTGTTATAACAAAGGGAATAGTAATGAATATATATTTTTAAATAAAGATACGATATAAATATCAAAATGTGGGGTGTAGGAATGAAGGACTTCTGGTTATGGGGGCATAAGAAGGTCAGTAATAACAGACAAGTACAAAACTGGGGAAATGTGTTTAAAAAAACAACAACAATTTTAGGACCTTGGAAATTGACTAAAGGTAGTCATTAAATTGCAAAGCATTTCTTACTGAAAAATCACTAGAGCTTTAGTAAAAACAGCAGGAGACTTCAATCTTTTTGCCTCGGCTCCATCCATTCCCTTCTCCAACTTGGTCATTAAGAAATGTAGTTTCAGCCACATGGAGCTGGTTGCAAAAACCACCAGCTTTTTTTCCACAATGGGCAGACTTAAATTAGGTCTAGGGGTAGAAACCTTTCTTTCACCTTTTCCCATAACAGGGGCAAACTTGGTAGGTGCCAAAAACCTGAAGCTTGGTTAGTTTGAGTTTGTATTCCCATTTGAGTGAGTGGCTGCCATGATTCAAATGCTTCTCCCCTCTGAAATTTGGTTGCCATTGTGGCAGTATTAGAAGGTGAAACCTTTGGGAGGTGATAGGGCAGAGCTCTCATGAGTGGCATTAATGTCATTATAAAAGGGCGAGTTGATTCACCTTTGTTTCTTGCCCTTCTGCCTTCCACCATGTGAGGATGTGGCATTTCTCCCCTCCAGAGGATTTAGCAAGTGGGACCTCACCAGATGTCAATGGCTTGATCTTGGACATTCTCAACCTCCAGAACTGTGAGTAAATAAACGTCTATCCTTTCTAAAGTATCAGTCTGTGGTATTCTGTTAGAGCAGCACAAAACAAAGACAGTGGTAGGCCAGAAGGACCTTTAGCATGGAGATCCTGGAAACTAGAGTCATGGAATGGCTAAGATAAGGGCTTCATAGATTGTACCCTCACTAGAAAACTGCACACTGAGTGGGGGAGACCCGAAAGAGCGTAGCAAAATGTAAAAGCCCAGGAAGTCTGAATAACTAGCTGCAACTTTGAATGCACTCCCTGATGGACGCATAAATCTATGTATAAAGAGTGGAAGCCTAATTGGTTTAAGGTGTTTGAGCATAACTTTTGCCAAAATCATTGCTGGACCAATAAAGAGGCTTTGCCAATGCAGGGGCAACTTCTTGTGAGCCAAATTTAAAAATTACTATTAGTATAAAAATCTGAGCAGAGAGATCAATGGCCTTGCACTGCAAAGGAGACATTCAATTTAAGCACAGATAA